TAATGGCTGGGGAACTTCATTTGCGTTTCATTAACACAATTTGGTTATCTTGTTGAATTAATTATCCAATTAACATTCGGAATTCGCCCCGCACGCCGCAGACACGATTCCCCCCCCTCCACCCCCACCGTCCCGACCCCAACTCAGTGCCTTGGCGTGGAGCAAAGATGGAGCGAGAAAAGCAAAGATATATAAATACAATAGAAATCCAATCCGTACAGCGACTGCCTAGGAGGGGGAGAGGCGGCACCGTGAGGGGGATGGGGGGGGGGGGGGGGACGGACGCACCGCTGTAATAAGCTCGTGTCGGAGAGCATCGTTATTACCCGACTCATTTGCAGCTCCTTCGCGCATTCCTTCTTCCTCGACTCACACGCGGATACGAACACACGCAGACGAAGGAGGGAGCGTATGTCGGACGGCCCCGCCATGGCCTGCCTGTGACGCCGCGGGGAATGCTCCGTACCTGAATGGGGCGAGGGAGGAAAATAAAAATGGGTTCCTGCGGTTTGTTTGGTACGGCCCATTCCAAATGAATTTCTCTTACTCGACCTTTTTCTTTCATAGGAATATACAAAAATTTAAACAAATGCGCAGATACGTACACGCACGCGTATACATACATACATAAACACACACACATATACACAGAGGCGTCAACAAAGCACAATTATCGGAACAAAGACCTTATCACACACCACACCAAAATTTTACATACAGAAAGATAACTATACGACCTGCAAGGCTTCCGTCCCGACGCGTAACTTGCAACCTCCGCCAAATGCAAAAAGGACGAAGAAGAAAAAGAAGAAAAGAAGAACTTCCGGCAAAACTCGAGGACGAAGATCCATGGTTCTAAACTTGTTGTTATCCCTCTTTTAAAGGGAGTTGACATAACCGGGAGAAGACAAATGACGCGACAAAGGAAGAGCTACGTAAGGCGGGCGGAAAAGATGGCGGAGGCGAAGAGCGATGGCTGAAGAAAGGCCTTTTTAAGGGGACAACATTATTTTATAAGTAATGGAATAAGAAAGAGAGAGAGAGAGGAGAGAGAGGAGAGAGAGAGAGAGAGAGAGAGAGAGAGAGAGAGGGAGGAAGAGGGAGAGGGAGAGAGGGAGAGGGAGGGGGGAGGGGGATATGGGATAGGGGATAGGGGATAGGGGAGAGGGAGGGAGGGAGGGAGGGAGGGAGGGAGGGAGAGAAAGAGAGGAGAAGAAGAGAGAGAGAGAGAGAGAGAGAGAGAGAGAGAGAAGAGAGAGAGAGAGAGAGAGAGAGAGAGAGAGAGAGAGAGAGAGAGAGAGAGAGGGAGGGGGGGAAGAGGAGAGAGAGAGAGAGAGAGAGAGAGAGAGAGAGAGAGAGAGAGAGAGAGAGAGAGAGAGAGAGAGAGAGAGAGAGAGAGAAGAGAGAGAGAGAGAGAGAGAGAGAGAGAGAGAGAGAGAGAGAAGAGAGAGAGAGAGAGAGAGAGGGAGAAGGGAGAGGAGAGAGGGAGAGGGAGAGGGAGAGGGAGAGAGAGAGAGACAGAGAGAGAGAAGGGGGGGGGGGGGGAGGGGGGGGAGAGAGGGAGAGAGGGAGAGAGGGAGAGAGGGAGAGAGGGAGAGAGGGAGGGAGAGAGAGAGAGAGAGAGAGAGAGAGAGAGAAGAGAGAGAGAGAGAGAGAGAGAGAGAGAGAGAGAGAGAGGAGAAGAGAGAGAGAGAGAGAGAGAGAGAGAGAGAAAGAAAGAAAGAAAGAAAGAGAAAGAAACGAAAGAAGAGAAGGCCGACAGCTAGACAGACAGATATACATACAGCTATACATACAGACAATACATACATACATACATACATACAAACACACATACATACAGACATACATACAGACCGACCGACCGACCGCCAAGAAGCCAAACAGAAAAAGGACGACGAAAGATGCTATTACCAAGTCGCAAATTAAAATCGGCCGCCAGCGAGATCACACAATACACGCGAGTTAAATATTTTAAAAGTTATTCCAGGTAACTTTTTGTACGGCGTCCACACGGGGGGAGGGGGGGAGGGGGGGGGGTGACACGTGGGAGCTGCCGATGTGAAGCCACTAAATAAGAGTCTGATTAAAGGCAGTGTCGCAGCTGTCCGATAATTAACAGACAGACAAGATCATCCCCGTTGGCAACACTGCGCATCGAATCGGGAATCAGGGGTATCCGATTCTCATTCATTTAATCTTTATTTTTAGACAAATGAAGGACTTTTGTTCTACCGATATCTACCGATTTTCGACCCGTATCTGCAGTCTTCAATTGGCAATACTCTATTTCTGACTGCTCTATTACGGCCTTGTGTGTGCGGCAGGTCTATTTTCTATCTTAATATCTTTGACCTTTTGGCAGTAGGAAAACGAAGAGGAAGTAAAGAAAAAGAAAAAAAAAACGAAAAAAAACGAGCGCCATATAACTGCAATGCGAATTAATGATATAAAAAAGGTTAAGAATGAAAGGGGAAACGAGAACGTAATACAGATTAATGTACACAAGGAATGAAAAAAAATCGGATAAAACAAACAGCGCGAGCGAGCAGGCAAACAAGCAAGGAAGCAAGCGGGTGAATATGCGAGTGCGGGATGGAGGGATGGATGTAGTGACAGATAGCGAGTCGGAGGGAAAGGAAATGGAGGGAGGAAATAATGACAGAGAAGGGAGAGAAAAGATGGAAAGAAAGAAATTATCGAAGTAAGATGAAAATAGAGAGAAAAAAATGAGGGGAGGGAAGAGGAGAGGAAAGAGACACCAATGTCTTCCTCGCTTGTGTTTTAAAAAGAAGGGGAAAGGTGGGGGCGAAGGTGGGAGATAGATATATAGATAGATAGCGTGAGAGAGAGAGAGAGAGAGAGAGAGAGAGAGAGAGAGAGAGAGAGAGAGAGAGAGAGAGAGAGAGAGAGGAGAGAGAGAGAGAGAGGAGAGAGAGAGAGAGAGAGAAGAGAGAAAGAAAGAGAAAGAAAGAAAGAAAGAGAAGAAAGAAAGGGAGAGAGAGAGAGAGAGAGAGAGAGAGAGAGAGAGAGAGAAGGAGAGAGAGAGAGAAGAGAGAAGAGAGAGAGAGAGAGAGAGAAAGAAGA